ACCCCTTCCCCCTCCTCATTTTTTCTAAATTATGACACGATCCAAGACGTTATCTATCTAAGACAACCTCTTTTCTCTTAAACAATGGGTGGCCGTCTTGTAAAATCTTGACGTTATTTTCCAGTATTGTTTAGGCAAGACCTACCTGGGCTACAACCCCACCGCCTGCGGGCCATCAGACAACATTGCTGGCCCGAATGAGGAAGAAAAACCAGACCACACTAGACAAGCTGCGAACACTAACCACTCACGCACCAAACAGCATCAGATCACCCACAGACCACCCACACATATACACCAGCCACCCACCCACACAATCAACCACCCACTGCACACACAACCACCCACCTGCCACACACACAATCACCCACCTCCCACACACAACCACCCACACACAAGAACAGACCTGTAGCGGAGTGCCAGTCAGCAGCAGCCTGTTGGGAGCGTTGTAGTAAGTGTTGAGGATAACTGTCAGCTTACAGTGGTGATTCTTCATGCGGTGGCCTTCATCAATGATCATGTACTTCCAGCGGATCTAAAAACATCGACAGAACATATATATAACATCAACAAAACAAACATAATACATTACCAAAATAACATAAAAATAACATAAAAACATCAACATTCCTTACGAAAACATCAACATAACATTGTAACATCACCATAATACCAGAACATCACCATAACATTAACATAAAATCGAAACATTAACATAACATAAAATCGAAACATTAACATAACATAAAATCGAAACATTAACATAACATAAATATATCAAAATAAAACATTAACACATCACCGTACCATAAACATAACATCACCATAAAACAACAATACAGCACCACAAAATATCAACAAAACATTGTAACATCACCATAATACCAGAACACCACCATAACATTAACATAAAATCGAAACATTAACATAACATAAATATATCAAAATAAAACATGACATCACCAATAAAAAATCAACATACTGCATGAAAACATTTCCCATAAAAGCAAGAACGACTGGTGCTACCAAGATGGTGCCGCCCCCCCGGTGTTCCTGAGAGTAATGCTCCACATTCACATACCTTGGACAGTGTGGCTTTGTCCTTGATGATGTACTCGTAGGTGGTCAGCAGGACGTTGAACTTTGTGGACTTGAGCTGTGGGGCCAGGGAGCGGCGCACGTTGGGAGAACCTTTGTAGGGAATCTTCACCACTGACGGGCCCCACTTGTCAAACTCAAACATCCAGTTGGACAACGTGCTGAAATAGAAATAAAACATTTTAAATTTATGTAAGTACTTTTATAACCTCAATTTGTATAGTACGGTCATAATAGAATTTCACGTAGGTGTTCTTACGCTCCCTCCCCCCCCCCCCCCCATCACTGACACAGTTTAGATCATGTACTGAAATAGGACAAAATGAAAGATACTCAAACATCTAGTAGGGACACAACATCCTGAAATACAACAAAGTGGAATAGACCTGCATGTGA